ATACAAAAAAAAACAAAAAAAAAAAAAAAACATAAATAATAAATATTATAAAATAATTAATTTTATATTATACAATAATGACAATAAAGTAGCTTAAAACTAAAATATTTAGTTTAGGGCTCAATCCATAAAATTTCGTAATAGTTAAGAGCAAAACTCACTTGACAGAAGAGAGTTTAAAAGTTTGTCATTATAATATTAGAAATTTGCAGAAAGTCTTCATTTTAAATTTTCAAATCAGAAATACATTTTAGTTTTTAGCATATATATAGAGGAATATTTGATCCATAGTATTCTCTTCTTTGTTTTTTATGAGTTTGCATTTTTAATATGACTTTTTAGCATAAAAATAGAATTGAAGTGTAGAGTTATTTTATAATTTAAATTTATATATAACTTTATACTATTAAAGAGATAATATTTTGTCTTGAGTAATCATACCAGAGAATCAAGCATACTGGTCAATTTAGTTTTTAATTTAAAACAGGAATACACTTTTTTTACATTCAAAATGAACAACAGTAATAAATCGAACTCAAGAAATATGAAAGCAAATGTGTTGTCTGTTTTATTTAGCGTTATCGTTGCGACCTTTGTATTTTGGCAATCATGTGCCCCGCATGATATGAAGTAAAATTTACGAGCCAACTTTTTTTTTATGCATTTGTGTTAGACATATATATGTGTACATGCTCGCGTATATGTGATATTATATAAATATACGCATAAAAAAATATATATGAAATTGTATAAATATATATACATATATAAGTAGCATTTGCAAATTGAGGAAGTACTAATTTCTATTTTAAATCCATGCTTCCCACACATAGTAAGAGTGAATGCTTTTAAGTTTGTTAAATACGCTATGATTTTTTTCCCCTGTAGAAATTGTGCTGTGTACTCGAACCATGGGCAAAATGTATACACCGGCAAAAGCGTCGGACGATTAGAAAGAATTTTGAGATCAAATAATTCAAATATATTCCAGGAATATGCAGAGTTACACGGTGAAGTAAGTACTAACGCGGTACAAGGTGTGAATAGCGTGTCTGGGTTCAGAAGCCCATTAAACATTCAAATTGTACCAGAACAACAGGAAGAGTATGAAGAACAGCTGGACGAACTAATTGATAAAATAACGCATACATGGAATGACACATTTTTAAATATGGTAGAAGATTACATCGATTTCACAGAACGAAATAATATCATGGATGGGGAATGGAAATGCCAAATGTGGAATCAAAGATGGTACAGATATTTACAATTCCTAGCTGGTAGTTTGAACGAAGTTATTGAAAATGATAACTACCCTTTGGAAACAAAGGAGTACATTTCAGATGAATTCCTTTATTGGGCTAACCATGATTTTATATGGTTTCTGAATATAGTTAAAGCAGAGTGGGATAGAAGAGTGGAACAACCTGAACCTGTATCAGTGGAAGCTTAGTACGGGAAATATCGCACTAAGTTGCCCTAGCCACAGATGGGCAAAAGAGTTCAAAGTTATCTACAAATAAATATTCGTAAGAAGTAAAATGATTTTTTCTAAATTGGATTGCTTTAGCGTTAATGTTGCAAATTTAAGAATGAATCACCTTTGGCTAAAATTTAACATATAGAACAAGCAAATGGGACGAGGTGGTGTATGTCGCCTTTTGAGAGGCAAGATGAGAGGATCATCCGGAAGATATATGACAAAGAATTTCCAGTTTTAACTTTTTTTTTTTTTTTGTCAAAAATTTATGTCCTTCAATAGCTCTACGACTATTTATCATGGTGGCATATTCAGACATATTTGTACAGTATCAAAAGTCTAAGCCCTTTTTTTCTTTTGCTTTGAATAAAGGGGTATTGGAAGTGTAATTCGATCAAAGCAAATAATAAAATGAAGTGTTATCTTTATTAATATATTCAGAAGTGACATAAAAGGGCTGAATATGGAAATGTTAAAAAATGTAGGTTGTGCCGTACGTGAGAAGAATTGTGTTGCTCAGCGAATTTTTTCATTAGAACGATACGGACGAGTATTTGTATTATCATTTGTGAGTAAATTTTCTCTTTTGTTTTTGTACATGGGCGATATTATTGGGTCAGTACGAAGAACCAGAGTGTACAATGTGAGAGGGATTATTGCCCTAGCGAGGAAGTACATTGATGTGAAGCGGCGGTAGATAGAGGAAATCTGTTTCATAACCGCAGTATGTAGATGTTAGGAGCCCCCGTTTTATGCATTTGCGTACATTCATATTCGATCGATCGCGTATGGAATGTTATAACATATGTTAAGAGAGTTAGTTGGACGGAGCAAACTAATTTACATATTAGAAATAATTAAAACAAGGTAGTACCAAATAATGACATGCTGAAGAAGCTGCATGTAATAATAAACTACACAAATACGCATTTCAGCGCACGAAGTTAGAACGGTGAATGGTTATCAAGATGTGTGAACGGATGTAATATACGTAGGTCTAGTGGGTGCAGTAATTTTATCGTATTGCACATACACTTTACTCCCCTTCGATTGTGAACAGATGAATACCGCGCAATGTTAGCAAAAAATTATTAACTTTTATGTACATGAGTGTATGTGGTATATATACTTCTGATAATATTTTTTGTATTTATAATTTGCATGAAAATCATGTAACAAGCATGATGGAAGGTTTTACGAATTGTTTGTTTTTTTTTTTAAAGTGAATATATTAAGCATGCCGTATATATATATGTGTATATATGCACTTAATAACAGACACGTTTTGTTTTTTTATTATATTTTGTAGGATGACATTTTATCTTATTAAAGTAATGGTGTTGTTTAAATTTATTTATTTTTTTTTTTTTTTATGTTGTCCCTAATAATAAACACATCTGTGCCATGTGATATATATATCATATGTTGCTATAGAGTCATTTGTTAAAACTGATTTGTGCGTACTATATGAAGAATAATTCAGTTAAATGTTACGTATTATTCAAAAAAGGAAAGAAGGAAACAGGAAACAAACATTTATTTTAATAATATAACTTGTAAAAATGCAAATGGTAGGTAGATATAAAATGTCGTTATTGGCTCTATAGCTCATTAAAAAATATATTCTGTGATATGTGCACATGTTGAAAACGTAAACAGGCGAATATCAATTTGGTTTTTAAGCAGAAATGATTGGTGTGAATATTTCCATGACATAAATTTTTTAATGAAGAAAAAAAAAAAAATTATATAGCCTTTTTTTAAGCACTACGTGATGTGACAAGTAGCGCACTCGTTTCAAAGCGTGAGTCAACATTCCTTTTAGAAATCTTAACGGTGTGTTAGGAAAAATGTCAAAATTGCGCTACTTACGTCGCGACCGTTGGGGACGAGAATGATCGGACGAAGAAGCTGTCTACTTCGTAGACACACATTTTCGCACTAGAGAATGCAGCAATTAAATTTTATACGTACACAGTTCTGCAATAGTAACAATGCCGAACACTGTTTAATAATGTATGAAAGACCTTAACAAGTGTACACAGCACTACCGCATTATTATTTTTTTTTTTGCAAAAAAGAAACTTTCACAAATATCCCAAAATATATCAGTGGTATAATTTTATTTATTAGTAAAAAAGAAAAAAAAAGTTACGTGACATCGTTTACAGCAAAAATAGAAACAAAAGGTTAAGGACCTACTAAAGAGGACGTAGTACTGTATGCCCTGCGCATTCTGAGCAAAATATAATTTTGTGTGAACATAATAGAACAAATTGCATACTGCGTTGTACAGGTCTTATTTTAAGGACTTATGAGAAGAGTCATCCTGTTTTAATTCATCCAAGCTATGTCGAGGTATTTAAGCATTTCCTTTTAGTACATTCCTAATTTTACCATTTAATGGTGGGTATCCTTGTTGCAAATGTTCATTTGCATTTTCCCTTACCAATCTCCTGTGTCTCACACCTAATATGAGATTGGTGTCTTTTCTGTAGTACGCATTATTGGAGTTATCCTAAAAATGGGGGATAATACCAGGATAGGTTAAATAGGTTTGTATTTATATTATGCTCCACTGCTGAAGAGTTTTCCTGTTTTAAATAAAAAATAGAGGGAAAGCCTTAAAGTGTACACGTGTGTAATGTTCATTTTGTTTGGGACCCACCATATCAGGGTATTTGCAGCAACATATTATAATGGCGTGCGTTAAGAAAATACTAAGAAATGAAGAAGTTATCATTTGGAATATCCTCAAAGTTGCCAAATTGTTCGCACAGTGTCAGAGACTGTTTACATTTGTAATCTTTGTGGAAATGCAGGGTTGAAGTCGAATGGTTCTTTTGATCGTTCATTTCTGGCTTCTTCGAAATGTAAGTTTTTTAGTTATCCTTCTCAGGAAAATGAATCTTTATCAGTTATAACAGTGGTGAATTATATTTCAGGAAGTGTTCTGTACGGTAATATTCCAAATGGAAATGATTCGAAAATGTCGTGATTTGTAAAATACGTCCATTGGGTAAATTGCGCAGAAACTATAACTCACGGACTTTACCAAGTGTATTCGTTAGAAGGGCGGGTGAAGGGGGTTCTGTATAACCCTATAACTTGCATTAGGCAAATATTCTCAATTTAGTCAGAACACTTATTAAAATTTTATTGACATGATGAGCATAATTAAGGATAATGTGCTTCGGAACAAATTTCAATTCAAAGGAAATTACAGAACTTATAATCCACATGTCATACATTTGGCACCATTTGCGGTGAGGGTGTACAGGAAGAAATAAAATATTTGAGGGACATCTTGTTTTGCAATTAATGTTATATATGTTCATTTGGATTTTGTGTGAAGCTAGAACGAACATAGGTTAGTGGATCCACTTAGCTGTGAAAGGATGAAGAGTACTTTTCTTGTCAGGTGCATGACTTGAAAATTACCATTGTGTTATTTAAACAGTGGGTCCCATCTCGCGGATTCCTTCTCATTTCGTCATGTACCATGTAAGCGATACAAGGTGAGGTAGCGCATATAAATAAAACTACATTGTACACATTTATCCTTTTCGAATAAGAAATCGGGGTACTCCGTTTTATTATACACAGTGGACACGCGTCAAGCGATATGCGAACGGTTTTTACAAAATGGGAGTAGCGGTTATTCTTGCGTCTTCTACATTAGTCTAAATAAATGGAATACGATACATCAGTGTTGTGCTTGGATTTTCCCCTGACGCCCCAGAAATGAATCTTGGGGAATAGTATGTTACTTATTGTGAGTTTTTATAACAGTGTTTTGAGTGCTGTTAACTTAAGTGGGTATTGTTACTGGCACGTGTAGATGTATTCCCCACATAAGGTGACTAAGCAATGATAAACACCTTTGAGCGTAAAATGAGACTGTAGTGACAAATTTTGTCCATATTTCGAGGTACATTTAATTACATCATTTCGCTATCGAGAAATTGAGCGTTGCATATTACTAATGAGTAATTTTTTAAGATAATTAATTTAATAACATAAATTTTAAAAATGTAAAAAAAGGACTAGAAACACACACACAAAAAAAATAATGAATAGTATAAAGAGATACATGCACGTTTTATAATATTTATGTTAAAAAAAATCACGGCTAGGTCATGAGGTTAATAATAAAAGACTTCAGTAATGCATCATTAAAAAGGAGAAATTTCAAAATAAGTGAGTATAACACTTAATATATGCTACAATTCCATATGGCTAATCTCTCGATTTTGCTGCAGCAAGTAGTGATACAGGACAATGACACAACTGAGGATGCGCACGTCGATGTTGCACCAATGGAAAGAAGTACAGCGGTTGCAAAGAATAGTACTCTTTATGGATATGCTGAAAGGATTATTCTTCTATAATTTCGCAAATGTTTTGTTTATGATACAGAACAATTTATAAAAATAAACAATTTACGATGGATATTTTTCTCTTCTATTAATAGTGTTACTCAGAAGGGTAGAATCACAACAGGGGGTAAGGTTAATCTGTTTGTAGATCCATGACTATTATAAAAAATTGGCCTCTTTGTCTTAGAAGGTAGGAAACATATATTTTTTGCCTTTTCACATATGTATAGCTTTAGAATTCCGATGTGGTTGTAGTTTTCTTCCTGACAGGATAATTTTATTTTTTAAACTTCCTTTTATAAATATTATTTTCCTCTAATGTGTGGCTAACTAGGCTTGTTTAATGACACCGCAGGTGTATTCCCTGCACACATTGATCCATGATTAAGCCGATAAACTGTTCTAAGCGCCTTTGATGGTTTTATAATGAAGGTTGGCCTTTTCTTTGCTCATAGTATCCTTATTTGTCACTCATATTCATGAACAGGTCTACTTGACTGGATGAAAATTGTGTTTTATGTGCTTAGAACAGTGCTCATGTGCGTACAGTTCAGTTATATCACCTTTTCTATTTTTCTAGTGCGTTCATATAGTTTTATTATACAGTATTTAACTTGTTATAAGTTCTTTTTTTCTTTTTTTTCTTTCTTTTTCTCATTATATAAAATTTTATATAATTGACAAATGTGTAATTAGGTACCTTTTATGAACATGAATTTTATTTAATTATTAAATAGGATTCAAAGTGCGATCGTTATGCCAAAAATATGAATAAGAAGTGAACAGATTCCCGTCCCCCCGCGAGAAAAAATTAGATACACATGTAAGTACGAATTAATAATATCAATGAACAACATACAATACAAGGAATCGGTTATTCCATTTTGTCCTAGTGCCTAAAGGCATATTTATTGGGACGTCATAGAATATTAGTTTTTTTTTCCTTGCCTCCATTATTTCTGTGTTAAAATTATTCAAGCACAGTTTTGCAAGTTGCGTTATTGATAGCACAATTTCGTGCTCTTTTTTTTTTTTTGAGCATTGCAAGAAAAAAATAATAAACAAGGGGGCAGTGCTTGAATTATATTGTAATACAGTTCTTTCGCTTCTTTTTCTTTTTCACATGCTCTTTTAAATGCTACCGAGGGGGCCGCGGGGGCGGATGAATAGCCTTAAATGCCTATTTGATAAAGAAGCTAACCTGTTGTATGAAGCTTTGCTACCATATAACAATTAAATGTGTAAAGGATGTGCATAGTAGATGGGTGTACAAGGGGTTCAGTGATTGTATCAAGTTTGAGGGTTTAGGGTTTGAATGATTTCAAATGCTAAATAAGACATACAGCCTCTATAGAAAATTATAAATAACAACACACACCGTACTATTATCAAAATGTAAAATGCACAAGGAACTATTATCAGGAAAACTGGAAAAAGAGGGAATTATCATATGAAGGAATGAATAAGAGGTAAAGCATGTAGTACACAGGAAAATGGATCATGAACATTCATATAGTTAAGGAGGTGATTGATTCAATATATTCATATTTTATTAATAATTCTTGATTTACATATGTATTATTCACGCAAGGAAAGAATGGGACACTCACAAAATAGGTCTTATGCGGAAATCATAGGGTGGGTTAAAAAGATTTTTAATTTTTCACAAATTAGGATGTTAATTATGTTACGGTGCACATTATACAATATTTTAATAGAATGCATGGAGCATTCATAGTATTGTGAATTCAGAAGTGCACAGGTCCTGTAAGCATAAAGGACGTTTATATATGTACCATTATGAAGTGTACCTTAGAATTATATGTATGATTATGGGTGGTACAAATATTGCAGAACGGAAACAATTGTACATATTATATTACAATTAATCAGGAAGAATAAATTAATTTATATAAAGTAAGAGCTCCATTTCCTTGCCTTCGTTGATAAGGTGTCACACAGTAAAACATATTTTACTCACACTGAATGTTGAACCCTATGTCCGTTTCTCCATTGATTTGATCAACGCGACTCGCCCAGGGGCCTAACACTTGCAGCCCTTATCCCAGTGGTATAAGGGTCATTCTCGACGTATACGACTTTTAGGACAATTGGTTCTTTAATCAGGGCCATACATTCCTCTGCTGTCTTAGTGGTGACTTGTTTCCATGAAGCTCTAAAGTCATTTAGAATTTCTTTGAATTCATCTCTGCTCAATTTTTCCTTTGCTATAAGGGTATAAAATACATCATTAACATGTTCGTGTTGTTTTGTAAAATTATTGCGAACTACCTTTGCACATTTTTTCCATACGCCGCTATATATTCGGAAAGTTAGAGCGGATTGTTTGTTTTTTACTTCTAAAAATTTTTCTTGCAAAGATTTTTTAAGAGCAAGATATTTACTTCTTTCATTTCTGTAGGATTGCCAGTATAGAGACAGTAATTCCCATTTATGAGGTTCTTCTTCAATTTGTTGTAATTTTTCATTTATTTCAGAGTCTCTCAATCTTCCATCGAAACAAGACGTTTCGTAGCTGAAAGCACTAGTTCTATCGATTCCATATTTTTCTAAGTTTTTAAAATCTCCAAATAATAATTCATCTATTTCATCTGTAGAATCTATATGATCTTTTTTATCATATCTTAATGATCTTTCACTATTTTTTGGCAATATTTCTTCATATTTCTGCAGTATATTTCCAGCATGTTTGTTTAAGTTTTTTTTAATTGAATATCCTAGCCCCTTACTGTTCTCCTCCACCTGTTTCTTTTCTTTGACATCACAATCTATGTGCATATATCCTTCCAGGAATTTCTTAAAGTATTGAGTGTTATTAGATATAGTGTCACCTTCTGTGTTCTTTACTTGTTCAGCCGATTCTTCAGCTTCTCCTGTAGCCGCAGTAGCTTCTATTTGTCTCCCAGCAGATTCTGCTTTGTCCCTCGCAACTTGCTCTTCTAGGTCTTCATCAGAGTATACTTCATCTTGTACCTCGTCCTCCTCTCCAAAATATTCTTCTTCCCTTGAATCATGTTCTATGTTTCCTTCTCCATCATAATGCACTTCTTCTTGTACCTCTTGTACCTCTTGCTCCTCTTGCTCCTCTTGCTCCTCTTGTACCTCTTGCTCCTCTTACTCCTCTTGCTCCTCTTGCTCCTCTTGCTGCTCTTGCTCCTCTTGCT